CGTAAAGTAGGTAAACCACTGCTAGTGGTGCACTACTTAGATAACATATTACCCCCCCACTTACAATAGTGTCCAACGTATTTATGAGAATTGCGAAATACTCATTAGTATTCATAGGTATGGTATATAACAATGTGCTACCCATTTTAATCGCTGTTGCTGTTGGCAGTCCTCAAATGATAAGGCTTCCTTTATTTTGTACAGTTCTTTGTGATTCTCTATCGCCGGTCCCCAATGTTCAAAGGAGGATGATCTTTGCCATGACCCTCAGACTTCAGCCCGCTCAGAGATTTTTCACCATTGATCTTAGAAAATGGTTGTATACTGCTGACAGTTGAGATATTTTTGAACGGGTTTGACGACATGCAGACATCCATATGCAAGTTTTGATCTGACAAAATTATTTTTCGTCATTCATTGAAAGTGCACGGATCTTACAACTCTCCGCGGTCTGCCTCATACCGGTCCAATACACAATATCACATATTGCAAAAGCAGTAGCAGCACAATATCGTCAGATCAAGACTTTCATGACTCGAGGTTAATGTTTTGGTTTTGTAGAAAGTTGTTGTGTTGGGCAAAACTATCTTTAGCTCAGTCTATTCTATTTTTAATGTCCTTGTCTCCTATATTAAATGCGTTATAACTGACCCGCATGCCAAGGTATCTAAAGTCTTTAGTATTCACTAATTTCAGCTCCTTAATTTTTATGATGGATTCAGTGTATCTGCCATCGCTGTTTTCATTCCAATTCCAGATCATATTTCTGTTTTGGAAAGGTTTAAGTTCTATTTCTTGGAACACTGGGGAGAGGATGCTGACTTTCCGTTCAAGATTATAATTATACCAATTGTCAATACCTATGTCATCAGCATAGCCTCACTCATTATCAGTATGGTACTCGTCAAAATTAGATTTCCCTAAAAAAAAAAAGAAGCTTGATCACTGGATTTAAGTATAGGTGTAATTAAGTTTTTTTGCGCTGAGTAGGCGATTTGCGTACATCGAGCAATTCATCCTCAGGAGTCGACATCAGTAAATCTTAATGGTCGCGAAGAGACCCTTATCCACCGTTGAAGTTCTAATTTTTTATGTAAACAAAATTCCGAAGACTTCGATAAATAAAACTGAAAAAATACGTTAGTATTAATCTGAGAGTTCTACTGCTTAAATGATAATCACCAGCATATAACAAATGATGATGATGAAGCAGTTTATTAAATTCGAATTCTAAGAAAATTACATTGATTGCGAATTCATGATGCATATGATATGTTGAAGAAAGTTATTGTATGATACTCGTGTTTCGCAAACTGTTTTCTTTTGAGACTTTATCTCATCAATTAAAGATATTTAATTAATGATATTTGTCTTGTAACATCTGAATTGATATTTGTCTTGTATCATCTTTCAGTCTTTTCAAACACTAAGACTAACTCGCATGAGATTTGCTGGTACGAAGTACTTCACGGCCCGTGGCCACTGTACACGCCGGTGTACAAGGTGAAGACGATGATCACCGGCCTACGAAGTATGAAGTTGAAGCAATTTATTTCATTGGCATTAATAGATCGGCTATACATTGAGGAGCAGAGTTCAATTTCTAGTTTAATTTACTATATTCGGTTTCTCACTAATATCCATAGGAAAAATATTAAATCCCTCTCTTCACTCTCAGTTATTTTTTAAATAGCAAGGTCGACTGAACTCTTTAGCCTTGGCTGGTAGCCACTCTAGGAAAAGGATTACTCTGAATTCAAAATCTTGGAGAGAAGGCAACGGGAAACCAGTTCACTATATTTTCTCAAGAAACCACGGACAATGATGTGTCAGAAACTTTTGAGCGTCATGGCCGCATACGTCATGAAAGGACACAGAATTTTCTGTGGGGGTGATGATTTCACTTCAGCAACGAAGCTAACCGCCATCTCAAGATCAGCTGGTATGGAAAATAGTTAGAGTACACACCCAAGCCTGTTTAACTTATAGTCACTTTAGACCGGTTCCTTATCTACAAGGATCACGTTGTCAAAGACTAAAACCAAGGTCAGATCAAGAAACAACACCGTAAAGAAGCTAACAGCGACTGGGGTGCCCTTGCCAGTACCGCAACCTTTTCATTCCATTCCATTGCAGAATGTGTCTTACCAGAGTAGAGTAGATTCACTAATTTCAGCTCCTTAATTTTTACGATGGATTCAGTGTATCTGCCATCGCTGTTTTCATTCCAATTCCAGATCATATTTCTGTTTTGGAAAGGTTTAAGCTCTATTTCTTGGAACACTTGGGAGAGGATGCTGATTTTCCGTTCAAGATTATAATTATACCAAAGTAAATCAACCCTGTTTTAAATCTTGCAGATCAATTTCTAGGTGTCTCAAGTCAACCAAACTAGATGATCTCTACTTGCTTGATCTCTACTTCTCAACCCTAACACTAGAAAGACAATCCACTCCAAAATAGAAGCAGGAAACCAATCTCCGACAGGCGTTTTTCTTAATATACGAATGTATACAGAATCAAAATACCAGGATATGTAATTACAGTAGTTTCAACGGTAGTAACGTTTCATTATCAAAGAGCAGAGCTTGATTTTTCTCTAGTCATGATGAACCATTGTTCTCTCACTGAGGTTCCTTGCCTTGAACGTCTATTGGAACCCATCTCTGACCAGATCCCAAGCACAACTAGTGCCACTAGTAGGCAGTGAATTACAGAGAGTGAAGTTGAGAGAAACTGAGAATATGGAGGATTGAGGAAAGGACAAAAAATGAACGGGATTCAAGAAGAGAGAATAAGAAGATTGACGTTGCATTTAAATTTTTGAAGATTGTGGTTACCAGTGAAGCAAGTAAGGGACTTCCACGGGTGGGAAGTGCGAGAAACGTAACTGTTGAAATAGAAGTGGTGGTTATATTTAACTATTTCAGCAGTAAAAAGGTGGGACATAAATGCCAATCTAATTTCGCGCTTAAAGTCATGAAGTCGGGGGGCCAGGGGGGAAAAAAGCCCATCAGAGCAGTTGCCATGGAAATATTTCTAGAAAAACATAGGAAAAGCCACGTGAAACTCGCTTTTTTTACCTGCTTACCGGATAATTACAATCTTCAAAAAATTTATATGCAACATCAATCGCCATCTTCTGTGCCCTTCAATTCTGTTCTGTCCTTTCAATCCTCTAAATTCTCTTTCACTTTCACTTTCACTTTCACTTTCACTTTCACTCCATGTAACCTCTCTGAAAACTACTGGTATTCCTGCCTTTGTTTGGGGCGAAATGATTAATATATATATATATATATATATATATATATATATATATATATATATATATATATAGAGAGAGAGAGAGAGAGAGAGATAGGTAATTAATATTCACCATTGAATTAAACCCAAGGGAGAAGACTATGTTCAAAGATAAATATGTGTTGTTATGTATTTGTATTTTAAACGGTATATCAACTCCTTATGGGTCATTTAATACCGAAATTTTAATTTTGGGGAAAAATATATATTATTCTACTTTCACAATTGAATACATGGTAAATGATACTCAGTTTTTGTGTATATACATGTTTATGGGGATATGCTTACTAGAAGGTGTGCTTTATGTTGTAATTTTCTTGAAGTTATATTTTGAAATAGACTTTGATTTCATGAATTGTTGGATATCATATGGATTAATATCATGAAAAAGTTCTTTCGTGTTGGTTTGTTGATTTTGTTTATTGGCATATCAACCTTTAGGGCTTATTTAATGCCGAAATCGAAATATTTTGAATACAATTTTATGGCTTCAACTGAATGTTTTAAACGTAATTGTATGCCTTCAGTTACAGATAAAATGTATTTTTGACCATTCTATAAAATGTATTTTTTCATAGGGTTTTGTTTTCTTTTTCATTATTTTCCATAGATGGAACCCTAATATGAGCTATCAGTCTGTGTCAGGGGCACCTGGCAACAACAGCAATTAAAAAGTGGTTCCATCCTCGTCAAAATCTCTCGATGAGAGGCCTTGTTGCCGGATGGAGTTTATCGTCATGCCCAGGACTATATATATATCTGTGAAAGTTGTTTTATTACGAAATGCCAGTCATTGTTATTATGAGATTAACCTTGCCGTTCATCCTAAATGGATTCAGAGGAATCAGAATTTGACTTAAATCAGCAAGGGATGTTCTAATTAGATTCTGACGCAATCGTGAGAGAAAAAAAAAACTTAAAAATCTTTTTTTTAATTATTAAATTTCAATTAAGTGACACTCGCCAATTATTTTCAATTAGAAGCATATTTTTTATTACGATGAAATATGAAGAAAAGCAAAAAAAAACAAAACACCGAAGTCACCCTTCTCAAGAAAACAGCAACGTCAAACAAAATAATTATACTTTTCATGTATATTTTTTATGAGACGCGTTCAAATTTTAATCATCAAGGATTTTAAAATATTCTTAAATTTTCTAGCAAGTTTTATAAATTATTGCGATCGAAGCACACCTGTTTTCTCAACAACCATGATGACGATATCAAAGTCAATCGACGTTCCTAGGGTAGGGGGATGAAGACCTCCGAGAAACAAACTTGATCTCTGAACCAAATGACACATCGCTTTCCTTATCAGCATTCCTTTCTTCTAACACTTCTCGTGCGATCGCCGAAGTTAATCAACGTCGATCCCTGTCAGATGGGTGACTGGTTGGTTGCTTGGTTAATTCGTTTTTTATGACTTATCAGCCCATTGCAGGTTATATAATGTCATAAAATATTTTTAGATCGTAAGCAATTTTTTTTTTAAAGATAATGATTTAGTAACACAAGTCTTAGTTTAGTAACACAAGTATTACTAATTAACCCACAGATGGGGGATATGTTGATACATACATTTCCCAGGGGTATTTGCGCGTAAGTCAATATAACAAGCCCAACTGGAATTGGAAATCGGCTCTCAGATTAACCCTTCCGAGCCGTTATCCATTATACCACAAGCACATCCAAGCTTACGACATCTGGTATTCCAATGCGGTCACCCATCTGGGTACTAACCAGGCTCGGCGTGGTTTAGGTTCGGTGATCCTATGAGAACCGGGGTTTCAACGTGATGTGGTCGTAAGCCGTGACCACTCGGGAATATCTGGTGCTGAATTAGAAATTGCAGAGTCGAGTTCCAATTCTAGTTTGTTTCGTTATGTTCACTAACGCGTAAATACCCTTTGGGAAGCTATGGATCCACCTTTTCTCTCCAGCCAGCTATGGGTTAATTAGTAAAGACTTGTATCCGTAAATAATTATCATCTCCAGTTTACTGGCTTTAAATAACCTGCAAAAGGTTAATAAGTCTTAGAAAAACAAATCAATCAAGTATTTTTTCTGACAATTTTTCATGTCATGGTATACCCATCATTATGAACCAAGAAGTATCTATCTATCTATCTATCTCAGTCTGTTCTTATCTATCTATCTATCTCAGTCTGTTCATGTCTGTCTGTCTCTCTCCCTCTATTTAGCTTTTTTCATATCTATCTATCTATCTATCTATCTATCTATCTATCTATCTATCTATCTATCTATCTATTTCAGACTGTTCTTATCTATTTCAGTCAGTTCTTATCTATCTATTTATCTATTTCAGTCTCTTATCTATCTATCTATCTATCTATCTATCTATCTATCTATCTATGTTCTTATCTATCTATCTATCTATCTATCTATCTATCTATCTATCTATCTATCTATCTATCGAAGTCTGTTCTTATCTATTTCAAATTATTCTTATCTATTTCAGTCTCTTCTTATCTATCTATAAATCTATCTATCCATCTATCTATCTATCTATTGGTGTTTTCATAAATGTTTTACACACTATCTTTCCTTCCCAATATATGTTTTATTTTATTTTATTTTGTTTTCTTGTCAGAATCATTCTGGCACATTTATAAATCTATCATTCATCGACGCACTGAATATTGCTACCATATCTGATCTGCTGATCCGGTTATATATCTCGTAATTTTCGATAAAATCCAAAGAATGGTCTGCAATGTTATCGTCCCTGACCTGGCATCTCGACTTCGGTCTCTTTCCCATTGCCTTTGCTATTTCTAGAAATATTTCAGAGCAATTGTTCTAATGAGCTCTCCGTTGGTATTTTCATTCCCCACCCCACAGACAAATTGTACACATGAGAAGTATTTAGGACTTCACAGAGATTTTAATCTATCTATCTATCTATCAATCTATCTATCTATCTATCTATCTATCTATCTATCTATCTATCTATCTATCTATCTCAGTCTGTTCTTATCTATTTCAGTCTGTTCTTTCCTGTCGTTTTTTGACGTATTTTTTAACGTCAAAAAACGACATTATTACGTCATTATTTTTGCACCAACCTAATAATTATGGTGGCTGTAGTAAGAATGGTAAGTAAAAAATGTGTTGTTTTGGTGTAAGGAATACTGTAGTATGTTTAGTTCAGCAATCGAGGGGAGCTAAGTTTATGATAAGACCAACCTTCCCTTATCCCTCTTTTTGGCCTTGTGTCACCTTTCTTTTTTCAAATTAAATATTGTTCTTCACTGTGGTACATTGACTGCATGAATTTAAACGTACGACTTGATTGGCAACTCGTTCTCATCGATTTACTGTTGAACTAGCTCGATGTATCTATTTTAATGATTTCTTTTCTTGCACTTCGCACCAGTGGAATATTTTCCGTTTTTTTACTTTCCTGCTACTTACAATCTTGAAAAATTTCAACGCAACGCCATTCGTAACAGTGAAATACGTTATTACTTTCCGAACAGGCTAATATAATGACGCAGACAGGATTGCAAAGTTTTTCCTGTTCCGTAACTGGAACCGCCCTTTTAAGTCCTCTGGCCAGTTTTATGTCTTCATAGCGTTTGTACAACGCTTAGAAAGTTAGTCATTTATTTGTATCTTCGTAATTCTAGCTAAAAGACATATAGACATTACCTGGCCTTTTGCTTTCTTATTGAAAGTTTTATTCAAGATGTGCATTTGTCTTGAAAAGTCATTATGTTTTGACAAGGAGGAAGCAAACTGTTTCTTTGAGTGTACCATCATCTTATTCTGCTTTTTCAAGCGGAATCGTCAGATCTACACAAGGCAATTCTATTTCCTCCAGTTACCATTTCTGTGGAACTCTTCCGAAAAATAGAATTTCTCTTGAACAAAGGTAAATGGGTCTGTTTCTTCTAATGATACGCGAAGAATGGAAATCTGCTTTTGCCTCTGTCGGCAATTCTGATTAACGTTTCCTTTGTACCTTATAGACAATTACACTTTTACGTTTTTGCACACGGAACTCCTAAGAGAAAAGGCAAACGTATGAATAATAAATTCTTCAAATAATAGAAAAAAAAAAAATTAAAATCTAACAAGTTCTTTTAAAAAATAAAATAAAATAAAAAATATAATTAAAAAAAGGTTTCGTGGGTAGGGCGAAAATAACAACACGAGACGATAGATGATTCTGGTCGCTCGTCTTCAAAATGGACCTCCAATCGGTTGTTAATTGTGGCAAGAATTGGCTGGTCAAGTTTAACGCCTCAAAAACTAAACTGCTCTCTATTAATCACCATAGAGATCCTTCCCTTCCCCACATTAGAATGTCTGATGCTTAACTTCTTAAGAGCAATTCCCTGCGTCTGCTCGGTCTCACGTTGACTGCTGACCTGAGATGGAACAAATACATTGAGTCAATTGCTTCGTCCACCGCAAGGAAAGTTGGCTCCCTGTGCCAGGCCAGGAAATTTTTCTCCCCAGAATCGATACTTCAAATATACAAATCAACCATTCGCCTTTGCATGGATCATTGCTGCCATATATGGTCTGGTGCACCTTCTGTTTACCGCGGAGTTCTTGACAAGATCCAGAGGCGGATATGTAATATAATTGGCCCTGATGTGGCATCTCGTCTACAGTTGCTCTCTCACAGACGCGCCATCGCCTCTCTCTGTCTTTTTTTACAAATACTTTCATGGTAATTGCTCCGATGAGCTGCTTTCACTGGTTCCCAGACTTCATGAGTTCAAGCACCCTACGAGGCTGGCATCCCGGTTTCACCCTTTCACTGTAGAAACTTTTAAATGTAGCCGTCTCTTCTACTCCAATAGCTTCATACCTAGCACCTCTCGCCTGTGGAACACCCTCCCAATTACTGTTTCCCTGAGTGCTATAATCTCCAACTATTCAAATGTAATGTCAATCGACATCTCCAGTTACCTTGATCTATTCACTATCCCTCTCCTCATCCTTTCTTCTATCACTCCTATCTGCTCTCGCTCCAAATCTTCTGCAACCCCCTGCATCCTAGTGGCTTCCCGCCTTGCTCGGGGCGTAATGCTTAAAAAAAAGAAAAGAAAAAAAAACTTTATATAAGATTTCAAAATAATGTGACTAAGTCGAAGATTTTTATTTCTCACTTCTCATCTTTCTCATTCGGTCAATTACTATTAACGAAAAAGCAGTCTACCTAGGGTATCGAGTCGGGTGCTGGCCATATCATCATTACTTTATTTTGCAGACAAACTTGGAGATTTAGTCGTCTTATTACGCTTCTTAGAACCTCAAATGCTTATCTTCGCTCATTTCCTGCTTCGCCATGTTTGCACACATCTAATTCATACGTTGGTCATATAAACACCACCTTATCGCGAGAACTATCTTGGTAGTTATACAGTAAAAGAATAATTTTCGTATTAATGAAAGGGAACTACAAGTTAATAGTTTTCCTCCAGTTTTTAGACGCTTATTTATCATAGTGTTCATCCAATTTCTAGTTCACAATAGCTGAATATTGTATCTTGTTATTAGGTTGGTGCAAAAATAATGACGTAATAATGTCGTTTTTGATGTATTTTTAACGTCAAAAAACGACATTATTACGTCATTATTTTTGCACCAACCTAATAATTGTAAAAAAATAAATAAATAAATAAATAAATAAAATGGCTGCCTGTCTTTATCATGGGAATAAAATATAGCAAACTTTAAGACTTTCTCCAATGAAAGTACTGGTATTTTGCATGTAACAAATAATTTAACAAATAATTGATATGTACTCGCAAGGAAAGACTTTTGCTTAAATGTTGTTTCATGGTTGTCGCCATTAGAAAAGCAAACGTACTAATGCCGACATATTAAAAGTGGTGGTGGTGGTGGTGGCGTATGAAAAATGTATAATGAAAGTTTTAACTCGTAAATATTATGGTCTTGGATTTTGAAAATTGCTACACAGATAGCTGAAAGGGCTCTATTCATAATTTATGGACAATTTATGCATACAAATTTTAAAGGCTTATGTTTATTCAGAAACAGTTAAGTAAACATTTGAAAATCCTAGCCTGAAGCATTTAATCAAAGATGCACACACACACACACTATTATTATTGAGTGAGAGAGAAACTTACTAACAAAGTGATGACAGGGTAGAAATATACACAGACCAATATACCCATCACGACACACCTGTCTGATAAATGGGAGATATATGGCAATCAATCGTGTGCGATATGGGTGATTTTTTTCGATGATGTTCACCCTGTATAAGGTCCGAGAGCCACTTGAGGTAGACAGGTATAGAGTATGAGGCAGAGTTTATGCGGATATTAGGGGAAGATAACGGTTAACCCCCGACAGGTTAATATTGTAGCGACGTATTGGAATCGGTCCTACAAAACAACGGCTCGTGAGAAGCTGCTGCTCGAGTGGAACTTTCTTCTCACCAATGGAATACAAAGGAAATGAAGCTGGTTTGCTACAATAGACGTGACATGGCGAGTCTTAGGCGTGAAGGTTAGAACTAGTGGAACTAAGATAAAATAGCGGCTAACCGTGCAGGAGGGGCCAGTTAGAAACACTTTCAGGTCGAGTGACTGCGGGTATTCGCAAGTATCTAGATATGACTTCCAAGTCCCCTTGGCTGACTTGTCCTTGAAACTTGAATAAAGAAAAACACTGGACAGCCGGCCATAATGCTATGCACAAGTCCCGGTCATATACAGAGATGCGCTGAGTTCTCAGCCCCTCGGAGACATGAACAATTCGTTAAGGTCAGGTAGCTGACGAGCAAAAATATTGTACTGA